ACCGAGCTTCCTTAAGACTATTATTTTGAGTTCTGTGTCAAATAGTTCATGAATCTCCTTTTCTTTAGGGTCAGTTGCTGGAGCTTTATTAGTTTCCACTGATGTTGTCATATTTGCCTGACTTTTCATGATCAGTGCAACTCTGCATTGGTGTCTCTATTTAGAAGAGCTGATACCTTCAGAGACTGGTTTTGGAAGGTAAATACCTTCTGCAGCCTCCCTGGGGTTATAAGGCTGCCTCCAAGATATGGTTGAACAGAGCTGGAGCTGGGTTTCACGGCTGTTGCTGGGTCCGCAGTTGGCGGTTCCATTGCCAGGGGTATGAACGGATCTCATTTCTGCTGGGTCCTTGAGTACTCTCCCACTGAGTTAGGCTGATTCCTAGATGGCCAAGACTGCCTGTAGACTGCAGCAGACTGGCACTGGAGCTGGGGTCACAGGACTACTTTGGCAACAACAGTTGGGTCTGAGCTCAGCAGGCCATGATGCTGGGGCATAGAAGGGGATGGTTCCTCTCGAGTCTCTCGGCAGTAGGATCTAGATGCAAGACCATGAACAAATGAGACCAGATTTGAGTCCCCAGAAAGACGAGGCAGCTCTAGGTCTGCAGCTGGGCTCACAGTCAGTGAGTCTTCTGCCAGGGCATGTGCCCGCCTTTTCAAAGTGATCCTCCTTGGTCTTGGGCTCCAATGGGATTGTGCAATCTCCTACCCAGGTCCCAAAGCTTCCCCGCTTTTATCTATGGATGGCTGCCAAATACTTGCTTCTGTGGGAAACACAGGTTGGAGAACTCCTATTCCATCATCTCGCTCGTGTCATTTTTCTTTTTTTTTTTTTTTTAATGTTTATTTATTTTTGAGACAGAGAGAGACAGAGCATGAATGGGAGAGGGTCAGAGAGAGAGGGAGACACAGAATCCGAAGCAGGCTCCAGGCTCTGACCTGTCAGCACAGAGCCCGGCGCAGGGCTCGAACTCATGGACCGTGAGATCATGACCTGAGCCGAAGCCGGACGCCCAACTGACTGAGCCACCCAGGCGCCCCTCATGTCATTTTTCTAGTACACGGCACTAACTGCATCTGCGGGTGTGTTTCAGTCTCTATCAGTTCACACACACAAAGGGGGTTGTTTTTACCAACACTGAAAACCTTAGAAGAAAATATTTATTCATGTATTTCACAAAAACTTTTAGTGACACATATGCACAGCCCTGTACAGGGTGCTGAGAATGACGGGAAAGCATGGGAGGCAGCATTTCTGTGCTCAGAAAGCTCATGATCTAAAAGGGCCTCCAGGGGCACCTGGGGGGCTCAGTCGGTTAAGCATCCGACTCTCGATTTCGGCTCAGGTCATGACCTCACAGTTCAGGAGTTCAAGCCCTACATCAGGCTCTGTGCTGACAGCGCGGAGCCTGCTTGGGGTTTTCTCTCTCCCTCTCTCTCTGCCCTTCTGCTGCTTGCGCTCTCTCAAAATAAATACACAATAAGTGAATAAATAAATAAGTAGGCCTCCAGCAAACCCAGTGTACAAGAAACATCCACCTAACAAGAGCCCAGTTAAAAAAATGTCCAAAGTTACCAACAGTGGTGTAAGCAAATACCACACTGCCTGCCAAGGAGCTGGTAATGCCTTCAGGAGACAGAGAGCAGGAGCTAGAGGAGGCAGACGTGTAGCGGGGCCCAGTGGCAGGAAAAAGACCCCATAGTTGGAAGCTGCACCAAACACTCCAGAAATAGGACATCCCAATGTTGTGCCAACACAGAGGGACAGGTTAGGGTAATGGCCTGGAGCACATGCTTTGGGGCCAAATAGCATGTGTTCAGACAAATGGCCCCAAACTCCGTTCTGCTGCCTACTGGCTACTTAAACCAGTTTACAGCCTATAAAACAGGGATGATCCTAGAACTTACTTCACAGAGATGTTGACAAGATCACCTAAAACACTACACATAAACATCTACCACATAGAATATACTCGGGAAAATTTTAGCCACATTTAAAACAATACAAAGTCCATGGTGACCAAGATACTTGGGCAATGGGAAATAATCCACTGTTCTCTATAAAGCTCGTAGGTCTGGATTACTTCTCCCCACCAGCCTCATGTGGAGAGGGACAGTACCGCTTGCTCACTGCTGGATCTCCTTTGTCCTATCCAGGCCCTGGCACATAGTCGGCATTTTAAAATTTGCTGAATAGGGGCGCCTGGGTGGCTCAGTCGGTTGAGCGACCGACTTCGGCTCAGGTCATGATCTTGCGGTTTGTGAGTTTGAGCCCCGTGTCAGGCTCTGTGCTGACAGCTCGGAGCCTGGAGCCTGCTTCGGATTCTGTGTGTCCCTCTCTCTCTGCCCCTCCCCCACCCAAGCTCTGTCTCTGTCTCAGAAATAAAATAAACATTAAAAAAAATTTTTTTTAATTTGTTGAATAAACGAACGGCCCCTCATCTGGAGTGTCTAAGCAGTTTATAAACTTGCCAACTTTGCCTCCTCTGTCTTCCCGTTACCCATTTCTCAAACCTGTACCTCCTACCTCTATTCACTTAGTTACTTAATTCGTTACTTAATAAATACACACTCAATATTTATGGAATGTCTCTTTTTTTTTTTTTTTTTAACGTTTATTTATTTTTGAGACAGAGAGAGACAGAGCATGAACAGGGGAGGGTCAGAGAGAGGGAGACACAGAATCCGAAACAGGCTCCAGGCTCTGAGCTGTCAGCACACAGCCCGATGCGGGGCTTGAACTCACGGACCGCGAGATCATGACCTGAGCCGAAGTCGGCCGCTTAACCAACTGAGCCACCCAGGCGCCCCTGGAATGTCTCTTAAATGCCAGGCACTGTTGTAGATCCAGGGGGGCATATGACAAACCTAAGAAGCCCCTGCTCTCACAGAACATCTATTCTAGAGGTGGGAAAGTAAACAAGCAAATAATTTGGGATAAACACCCTGAAGAAAAGTAAACATCATCATCTCTCGCCCCTGCCTTCTAATCAGCCTCTCTGCTTCACATCCGGTCTCACGGACGTCTACCCACCGTCATAATGCTCCATCGAAGTTACAAATTCTAACCTTACCGTTCTCCTACTTGAAGTCTTTCCATGGCTCCCTGTTGATGATGGTAACACTGCAGCTTTTAGAAGAAACCCACAGCTACTTACCGCCCATGACGCGAGCCCTGCATGCCTCTCCGACCCGAGTCCCCCTCACTCGCTTCCTTCCAGAACTCCCGTCTCAGCCCCCCTGAACACCAGTGCTATTTCTCCACTTCTGTGCCCTTCCTCCTTTCTTACCTCCTCCACCACGTCTCGCCAGGTACAGACACCCTTGCCTGGCTGACTCCTGTTTTCATTCAGTTTTCTCAAGGATCACTCTTTCGGGTACGTGTCACAGCCCATCCCCGTCACCACACACTCACACACACACACACTCACCGGCCTCGCTGGCCCTTCCGTCCTCAAGATGCCCGTGTGTGTTTCTACTACCGCACTTCCATTCCGCGCTACGTTATTTTGCTTCCTGCTTCTGCTCCCCCAGCCGTCAACTCCTTGCCAGCAGGTACCGTTTTTTTTTTTTTTATTCATCTTAGAAGTCTAAGGAGAAGGAGACATTTGACAAGTGTCTGTTAAGTTTTTTTAAATGAATTTCTATTTTAAGAAATAATAAAATGAACAGAAAACAACAGCCATGACTTTGGAAAAACCGAAGAATCCTTGCTCTGTGTTCATCTCTGGCTAATTTATTTATTTTGCAGCTCCTGTCAGTGGAAAATCTGGTGAGTTCTCGTCTCTTTTGCTCTTCGGGTGTCCCTGGATAAGAATGTCTCCCTAAAAAACACGAGGCGCTTGCAATGTCTGTCTGAGGGTCTCCAACAGCTCCTGTTCTCCCCGAGACCAGAAGGGGTGTGAAAGTGTCACGTGCTCTGCTGGCACCACCCAAGGGCCAGGACAGCCACATGCCCCCCCACCCCACCCCGCCCCGCCTCTCCCTGGAAGAACTAAGAAATGCACGAGCGGCTCCTGGCCTTCGGTAGACCCTGAACTTAACCCTACCGCAGATGGAACCCACTTGACCATGCAGGACGTCCTCAACTCCACGGCAAATGCGCAGGGCTTGGGATAAGGTTTTCTCCCATCAGCAAGCTCGAAGAACGTCTCTGTAAGCATCGCACTGCGAAGACGCGAGCAGGAATACTACGTTCTCTACACATGCAGAAGTAAAATCCTGTAGGAAATGTTCCTCCTCCAGAAAAACATCCAGCAACTAGGCCCTCAAAAAGAAGAAACGCACCCAAAATAGGAATTGGGGGAGAAGACATGTTATCTGTGTCACACATTTTCTTAGTTCTGACTCCCACCACCATTCCCCTGGGTCAGAGAATGTCCTGAATATTTGAGGATTCGTGAACGGCAATACAACCGCTCTCCTTGGCCGAAATCAGCTGCCCTGGGATTTCATCCTTGTCTGGCTCACTTCTGGATTCCAGCAAACGACCTGTCCGTTCCTTGCTCTGCCACAATCAGCTGTGACAAGAGTCTCTGGGCATCTGAAATGTCATCTGCGACACGAAGGTGTTAGACAAGTTAATCCCTCAGGCTTTACTCAGTGCCAAAACCTTCAGAAAATAGGATTTATCCCGTGAGAGAAAGTGCACACCTGTGATGCGCACAGCTCCCTGGGAGGTCCCCAAGAGTCGGTGGACGTGATGAAGTAGGAGGGCAGGGGCGGCCTTCTCTAGCGCCCGTAAGAAGCCAACTGGCCACTGATCCCACTGACGCTCGGCGGCGAACCCCGCTGCTGACACTGTCGGCTTGAAATCATTTCTCTCACTGCCATCCCCTGGGGGCTCCAATCCACAAACAGCCGTGAGCAACCACTGACCCTCCCGGGAGGCTTTCCTGGGGATCCCCCCAAGCCTGGTCCTCGGGTCCGTCCCACACAGACGACCGCGGCGGGGACCACAGGCGTCCCCATCTCAGGCTCTGTCTCTCTCTTCCTCAGAAGCTGCGGCCAAACCCGTGATTTCCCTCCATCCTCCATGGACCGTCGTCTTCACAGGAGAGACAGTGACCCTGACTTGTCACGTATTGCACTTCCACGCTCCAGAGAAAATAAAACGGTTCCTTTGGTACCTCGAGGGGAGAATGCTACGCGAAACCCCAGGCAACACCCTGGAGGTCCGTGACTCCGGACAGTACAGATGCCAGACCCAGGACTCGCTCCCAAGTGACCATGTGAGCTTGACCTTTTCTTCAGGTGAGAAAAAAAGAAAAGAAACAAACCACAGTTTCTTTAGAAACCACACAGTTACCCAGAAGCTGCCTATATTTACGGAATAATAATCTATACAGATGAGACCCAGAGATTTGTTGCTCAGATCCAAGAAAATTGGAGAAGAAAATTATTTGAATGGTTTCTGGATCTACGTATAGTTTTGGTTTTTTAAATTATTTTAATTTTTAATTTTTAATTTTTTATTTTTGAAAGCGAGACAGAGTGAGAGTGGGGGAGGGGCAGAGAGAGAGGGAGACACAGAATCCGAAGCAGGCTCTGGGCTCTGAGCTGTCAGCACAGAGCCTGATATGGGCTCGAACTCACAAACTGTGAGATCACGACCTGAGCTGAAGTTGGACGTTCAGCTGACTGAGCCACCCAGGCACCCCACACGTGTAGTTTCAAACTTATAAAATTTGTTTGGAATAATAAGCAGCATGAGGATTTTTCAGATGGACAGGCAGGCAGACAGACAGAGGTACAGCTGACCCATGAAGGCCACGGGGTTGAAATGCACGGGTCCCCTTCCCTGCAGACTTTCTACAGGACAGGACTGTAAATGTATTTTCTCTTCCTGATGATTTTCTTAATAACATTTCCCTCCAGTTTACTTCCTTCCAACAATACGGTCTATGAGATAGAGAACATACAAAATACGTGTTAATGTCACAAAATGCGTAATTCTCAGATTTTCCACTGCATGGGGGGTCGGTGCCCCACCCCCATGTTGTGCAAGGGTATAATGTATACAGACAACAAGAAAAAAGAGAAGAAACATTTCTCTTTTTCCCTGTGTCCTAAAGCCACCTGTTTTTGTTTTTTGTTTTTTTATGTAAAGAGATTCTGACTTATTTTGGTGTAATTTCCTTCTGAATTAAAAAGAAGGAGAGAGAGAATCCCAAGCAGGCTCTGCCCTGCCAGCACAGAGCCCAACACAGGGCTCGATCTCCCCAACCGTGAGATCACGACCTGAGTGAGATCGGGAGTCTGATGCTTAACTGACTGAGCCACCCAGGCACCCCAGAAAGAATAATAAATAAAGCCACCTGTTTGAATTCGAAGCAAGTTATGATGTTCTCTGATTTCATGAACAAGGAAGCGGTATGGTAACAAGGAGAAAGTAAGATGCTTATCCTCTCTGAGCTGGCAATTCCCCTCTTAAGAATTTACCTACTGGAGGGGCACCTGGGTGGCTCAGGCAGTTAAGCGGCCGACTTCAGTTCAGGTCATGATCTTACGGTTCGTGGGCTCGAGCCCCGCGTCGGGCTCTGTGCTGACAGCTGGGAGCCTGGAGCCTGCTTGGGATTCTGCGTCTCCCTCTCTCTCTGGTCCTCCCCCGCTCACACTCTGTCTCTCTCTGCTTCAAAAATAAATATTATGGGGCGCCTGGGTGGCGCAGTCGGTTAGGTGTCCGACTTCAGCCAGGTCACGATCTCGCGGTCCATGAGTTCGAGCCCCGCGTCGGGCTCTGGGCTGATGGCTCAGAGCCTGGAGCCTGTTTCCGATTCTGTGTCTCCCTCTCTCTCTGCCCCTCCCCCGTTCATGCTCTGTCTCTCTCTGTCCCAAAAATAAATAAACGTTGAAAAAAAAAATTATAAATAAATAAATAAATAAATAAATAAATATTAAAAAAAAAAAAAAAAAAGAATCCACCTACTGGAATCATAGACACACTCCCCCCAAACTGAAGGACACTGAACGGTCAAGAAAAGAAAGCTCATTAAGTAAATTACATGGCATCGCACTGAAGGGAAACTTTGCGGCCGTTAGAAGGCAGGTTCGGTAGCGAGACCGACGGCCTAGAGAAGGGTTCGTAGCAGACTAGGTTGTCAAATACGCAAACACTGCTGCAGTTTCATAAAGAGAACACGGCAGACTCTCACGTACGTGCCCATGGAAAAGAGCACCCGACACGTGCACGTCCACATCTGGGCCGCGAGGCGGGAAGGGATCTGTACTTACATTTCTGCTTTCCGAGTCTTCTCAGGACACGTGTTCACTCTAAAATCAGAATAAAAGCGGATTGTAGTTATTTTATGCGTTCTTCTCCCCCATCCCAATCCTAGAAAATCCGTTGGGGACACTAATCAAGAGAAGGCACCGAGTGACCAGGCTCGCGTTGTCTTGCAGCGAACCTGATCCTGCAGGCTCCCCCCTTCGTGTTTGAAGGCGACTCTGTGGTTCTGAGATGCCGAGCAAACGCAGAAATCACTCTGGATACCACGACACTGCACAGGCGGGGCGAGGTCCTGAGCGTCTCTGATGAAAGTTCCGACTTCCGCATCGAGCAAGCAAGTCTCAAAGACAACGGAGACTATCGCTGTTCCGGATTTAAGAATGGCTGCTGTTCCTACTCTTCCAACACGATCAACATCGAAGTCCAAGGTAAAGCCTTCGTTATCTGCGAGACGGGCTTGCTGAAAGGACGCTCCCTGAGGCAGCAGAGGGTGAGAAGGGTGGGCTGGGATACCCCCCGCACCTCAGGGCTCACTCCTGCGAGCATCGGAGGAAGCGCAGGAGTGCTCTGAGCTGAAGGGGGTTGCGGATGGAAAGCGGCCTCCCCCCTGCCTGCGGTGCATCTTCCGCGGCTGCTGCAGACGGGCTGTGTTTCTCTCCAGAGCAGTTCCGGGCCTCACTGCTCTGGGGACCGTTGTGATCCTTCTCTAGAGCTGTTTCCACGTCCCGTGCTGACAGCCAGCCTCTCACCAACCGTCTCTGGGAAGTCAGTGACCCTGACCTGCAAGACCCAGCTCCCTCCGCTGAGGTCGGACGTCAAACTCTGGTTCCGCTTCTTCGAAGACGACCACATGCTGCAGTTGGGCTTGGAAAGCTTTCTGAAAATCTCGACCCTCACCACGAGGAGCAGAGACCCGCCGTATTACTGGTGCGAGGCCCAGAGAGGGTCTTCCGGCGTCTGCAAACAGAGCCAGAAATCCCAGCTACACGTGCAGAGTGAGTGTCAGCGGGTTCTGATCCGCCAGGACCCAGGGACGGGGCAGGAGCCAGGCAAAGCCGCACATCAGTGCTTGATTGTCCTGCTGGTCAACTGGAGCCCAGCCCCTCCGGCTTCTTCGGGCCTTGTACTGCCTCCCAACCAATCTCTTGCCTTACCCGCTTCCTGCCTCCTCCCCAACTCACCTGCGTGGGTCTGCTCAGGCTGCATGGCCTGCACGCAGAAGTGCATTTTCTCACAGCCCTGGGGACTACGAGTCCAAGATCAAGGAGCAGTAGGTTGGTGTCTCAGGAGAGCTCTTTCCGTCCTGCAGCTGGCCAGCTTCTCGCCGAGTCCTACCTGGGCCTCTTTCCTCTGCTGTCATAAGAGCCCCGGTCTGACCTGATTAGGGCCCCACCTACAGCCTCCTTTAACTTGAATTACCTCCTCAAAGGCCCCGTCTCCAAATACAGCCACCTCTGGGGTTAGGGCTTCCACACAGGCATTTTGGAGGAACACGGTGCAGCCAGTGACGTCCTGATGTCTCTGCTGTCTCCCAGATCTCTGAGCAAGGGTGTCTCTCTACCTGCCGTGGGCCTCGTGCTCTGTCCAGCCCAGGACCATCACGCCCTTCGATGTGTCCGCAGCGTCTCTTCCCTCCCTCCCTCCCTCGTTCTCTCTCCCTCCCTCCCTGTTTGTCTCCATCTCTCTTTCTCCCAGGGATGCAGAAGTCTCTTTTCCCAATTAGCAGTTAATTTTTGACAATAACCAACACACATATCCTCGTAAGATACAGAGATGGGTAATAACATCGTAGCCACTCCAGAGACGTAGTCAGGGGTGAGGAGGACCCCCGAAACCACCACTCCTTGACCAGGGCACTCAAGGCCCTTAGGGAAGTCAGGGCTGCCTAACCCAGCCCGTCCTAAGGAGACTCTTCATTCAGCACTGGGCCAGTACTCAGCAGGCAGACCCCAGTCCTGGCCTCTGTGAGTGGAGAAGCGGAGAACAGGGACTGAGCACAAGACCCCAGGGCTTGGGCAGGTGGGGGCAGCTCTTCCAGGGTCACAGGCAGAAGGAAGGAACAGGGAGGGGTAGAAGAAGGGACTTCTTCCACCAGAGCGTCATTTACCCTGGAAAACGGGAGCGGGGTCACCTCAAGGGGGGCGGATGGGGAGAAGGGGGCGCGTGGAAGGCAGGGGCTGAAGCCCGGCCAGCACCGGAAATGTGCAGGGAGGAGGCCCAGCACCCCCTGACTGATGATTCTTTCCCTCAGTCCCCGTGTCTCGTCCTGTCCTCACCCTCAGCCCCCGTGGGGCCTCGGTTCCTGAAGGACATACAGTGACGCTTACCTGTAAAGCCGAGAGTGGCTCCTTCCCAATCTTGTACCAATTCCTTCGCGAAGAAGTCGTCATCCAGAAGATGGAGCCCACTCCGGGCATGAAGTCCGTCATGTCTCTGAGGGCAGAGCATTCTGGAAACTACTACTGCACCGCGGACAACGGCCTGGGTGCCCAACGCAGCCTGCCCGTGTACCTCACTGTGACTGGTAAGTCCTGGGCTTGCGGCCCTCCATCCTCGGCCTCCTTCCCCCAGCCCTCCCGTAGTGCGCTCCCGCCTCCAAGGCCCACCGATGTTCCCGGGGACAGCTGCCTGCCTCTCTGCGCCTGGTCGCTGGCACAGTGCAGGCTCCATCAGAGCCCGGGACGTCTGCACCGCAGCTCCCCTCCCGGCCCCACCCGAGGAGCCCAGTGCTTTCTCGTGCCCACCCCTCGTCCTGCGAGGCCTCATCCTCGCACGTGCTCTCAGTAACTGCAGAATCAGTCCCCGGGGCCCAGAGGTGACGTCAATTATTGATCACCACACACCTTGATCACCTGGCTCTCGAACGTCACCTATGGATCCCAGCGGGGTACAGAGCCACCAAAGGTACTCAGCCCGCGCGGCGCGATCAGCGTTTCCTCCGCGGGCGCCGGGGAGCAGGAGTGCAGGGGAGAGCGAGTCTGGGAAGCACGGATGACCCCTCCGCCCGACGGCCTTAAGGCCCCCAAAGTGACAAAGGCGAGTGTCGAAAAAGTTACGAACCTACCCGGTTTCTGCGGAGCCTCGAGTCTCAGCGTTGTACCGTCGACACAGAACCAGTTCCGGGCGCACCTTTGGGGGCAGGGGTTGGGCGGGGGGGGGTGTACTCATGCGCAGTCCGGTCCCGGCGCAGGACCCGCGCAGCCTCAGTTTCCGCTTCTGGAGAAAACACACAACCAGGCTGGCGACGAGCCAGAGCGCAGCCGCTCCCGCAGCTCCTGCGCAGAAGGTCGTACGGAACTGGGCCAGGGAGCCCCGACGGAGGCATCGGACCAGGAGGGCAGGGGCTCCGCGCTGCGAACACCCAGAGGCCCGAGGACATCGGGCAGTGACGTCACCGCAAGCGCCCGCCGCGGCGGAAGTGCCTACGTGACGGCGCATGCGCTCGGCTAGCGCTGCGCGCCTTCTGCGGAGGCCTGAGGCGAGCCCGGCCCGGACTTGCGCACGGTTCTGGGGGCGACCGGCGGGTGTGGATCGGCACCCCGGCCAGCCCCGGGCCGAGGCCCACGAGTACCTGCGGGCCGTGGGGGCAGGGGGGCACCCCGATCTGCGCTGCCCGGGACAGGACTCGAGGAGAGCTCACGGGGGAGCTGAGGGCTGGGAGAGAGCCTGGGACCCGGGCGGAGGCAGGCGCCGAAAGACGCGCAGCGGCACCGAGGGACCCGTCCAGGACCCGGCGGGAGGCTGGCGGTGCAGACTGCAGCGAGCGTGGAAGGGCCGAGGGGCGGAGGACGGGCGGCAGGAGGCCTCAGACCCATGCTCAGGGCTTGGGCCTTATTCCAAAGGGAGCTCCGGGCTCCGCGATCGGGACTCACACCGGAGAGATCACTCTGGCCGCCGGGGTGACGAATGGATGGCAGAAAAGAGAAGAGCCCGCCCTGGGAGCCGCCAGGAGCAGAGCAGAGGCTCCAGAAGAGAGGCCAGACAGGACCTCAGGCCAGCCCCGCCGAAGGGGAAGGGCCCTGAGCACCGTGGCTCGTGGGAGGAGGCGCCCTGACCCAGAAACCGCAGAAACCAAGGGAAGAACGTATTTGAAGCAGAAGATGTGGCCACTTCAGACAAAACAGAGCTGCGAGCTGACGAGAGACAAGAACTGAGTCACCTCCCTTGGGTTCAGCCACAAAGCGCTGCATGCAAAAGCAGGAGACACAAAGGAGAAAAGGGAGTCTGGGTGTGACCGCTGCCTGGCTTACCAGCTGCGCGGTTGACTGCTTTGGGCTTCAGTTTCCTCTTCTGTAAAATAGGGGCAGTAATAGCCCCTGCCCCATTGGCTTGTTTGATAATTAGTGCTTGCATGCATGTGTTTACAAATTATACACGACAGACACCCGTACCGTAGATGCACATGTGACAGCGCTATATTCTCATTACAATCGCAAACGCGGAAGATCAACGTTATAGATTGGTGGCGATAAGGCAAAAAAAGCAGGTTTTCACAGACCAAAACAGGAGTGTGAGGCAAAGAAATGGAGACAGGAAATGTAGGCCCCTTCTCTCAGAAATCCGTCCACAGGAGAAAGGGATGACGGGGAAGAGTACACAAATGCGGAAGCTTTTCTGTGGTTGATTTTTTAAATTTTTTGAAGTTTATTTATTTTGAGAGCAAGAAAGAGAGCAAGCAGGGGAGAGGCAGAGAGAGAGAGGATCCCAAGCAGGCTTCATCAGCACGGAGCCCAGCATGGGCCTCGAACCCATGAACCATGAGATCATGACCTGAGCCGAAACAAAGAGTTGGGCGCTTAACCAACCGAGTCACCCGAGCGCCCCATGCTTTGCTGATTTTCTAATGTGGAGAGGATTAAATACATCTACATGGAGTTTGGAAGAAGGCCGACGGAGCCAGAGAATCTGTATGTGGGACAGAGGCAGGTGGAGGAGGAGGAGGATTCTTCTGGGGTGGGCAGGTGGGGGCAGCTCTTCCAGGGTCACAGGAAGGAGCAGGGAGGGGTAAAAGAAGGGACTTCCTCCACAAGAGCGTCATTTGCACCGGAAAACAGGAGTGGGGTCACCTCAAGGGGGGCGGATGGGGAGAAGGGGGCACGTGGAAGGCAGGGGCTGAAGCCTGGCCAGCACCGGAAATGTGCAGGGAGGAGGCCCAGCACCCGCTGACTGATGATTCTTTCCCTCAGTCCCCGTGTCTCGTCCTGTCCTCACCCTCAGCCCCCGTGGGGCCTTGGTTCCTGAAGGACATACAGTGACGCTTACCTGTAAAGCCGAGAGAGGTTCGCCTCGCATTCTGTACAAGTTTTATCACGAGAATATCAGCCTGGGGAGCAGGTCGGTCCTGTCTGCAGGAGGAGTGTCCCTCCGTGTCACCGTGACGGTGCAGGACTCTGGGAACTACTTCTGTACCGCTGACAATGGCTTCAGGCCCCAGCGCAGTGAGGCCAAGAGCCTCTCTGTCAAAGGTAAGCCCTGCATTCTTGTCAGCCACTCATCTCTGTTTTGTCACTATGTTAAGAGGAAACTGAGGCCCGATGCGACAAGTGGCGAGGCAGCCGTCACACCCAGACTCCCTTCTCCTTTGCGTCTTCTGCTTTTGCATGCGGCGTTTTGTGGCTGAACCCCGGGGGTGCTGACTCAGTCCTTGCCTCTCACGTGGTTCTTTCCTTTCAGAAGTCTGCATGGATCTCGCAGTCTCCACCTCCCCAACCTGGCTCCCCTGGCAGCCAGCTGTGGGCCTTAGCCCTCCCAGCCCTGGCTCAGCCTGACCCCTGGATAGCTCAAGGGACTCCCCAGCTTTTTTTTTTTTTTTTTTTTTTTGAGACAGAGAGAGACAGAGCATGAACGGGGGAGGGGCAGAGAGAGAGGGAGACACAGAATCGGAAGCAGGCTCCAGGCTCTGAGCCATCAGCCCAGAGCCCGCCGCGGGGCTCGAACTCACGGACCGTGAGATCGTGACCTGAGCTGAAGTCGGACGCTCAACCGACTGAGCCACCCAGGCGCCCCATCCCCAGCTTTTACCAGAGGAATGCATTCCCTCCGAGGTTTTCGCATGTTCTGTAGATCCCGTCCCGGGAGACTCTTTCTTAACCCAGTGCCCAGAAGCACTAACACTCACGCGTGCACTTGGCTGCGAGCAGGGTCACGCAGCCAAGTAGGCGGCAAGCCCTCAACCGTTCAGAGTTCCCAAGCCGTTGAAGCACTCACGGCAGGGTCGACGAGGGAAGGAGGGAGGGTTTTCTGGAGTTTCCGTGATCTTTTGCCTGAATCCGTGAAAATAAGTTTCATTTTATTGTATCACATTTTTTAAGTCGTTGTTGAAATATGCCATACGTTCAGAAAAGCACACAAATCAGAGGCATACAGCTCGTGGTGACCCACGTAACCACCCAAATAGGTGGCATCACGTTTGGAGTGAAGTTGCTTGTGTTTACACTTGGATCTTTGCTTCTTAGGGAGTGAAAGCCCAGTTGTTTGTGTGTTTGGCCGTTTTTTTTTTTTGTTGTTTTTAATTTTTTTTAATGTTATTTATTTTTGAAAGAGAGAGAGAGAGACAGAGGGTGAGTGGGGGAGGAGCAGAGACAAGGAGACACAGAATCAGATGCAGGCTCCAGGCCCCAAGCTGTCAGCACAGACCCCGAGGCGGGGCTCGAACCCACGTAACCGTGAGATCATGACCTGAGCCGAAGTCAGATGCTCAACCCTCTGAGCCACCCAGGCGCCCCTGTTGGTTTATCTGTTTTTATGAGAAATAGAAGGATGATGGAAAAACCATGAGCAGGGTTCACCAGACCATTCTACGTCATGAGGAAACTGAGACCGGGTGTCCCCAGAGGGGAGGGTTGTTTCGTGGACGTCCAGGGAGCGAGAAAAACAAGAGAACACCTGCAGGCACAAGGAAGAGCTGGGAGATCTCTCAGAAAATCACTTATTTCTCCAGAGCAGGTGATACTGGCCTGTGACGAGCTCAAAGCTCACTCTGCTCGCAGGCCACCAGCTATTTTCCTGCGTCCCCACCGTCACCCCTGCTGCTCCTAAGCGCCTTCCCTTCTCTCCACCTCGTGACCTCTGCCACGCCGGCATCAACTGCTCGGCTTCTGGCTGCGACTCCTTGCCGTGTATCTCAGCCTCTGCCCGGCCTCCAGGGCCGGATGGCTCGAGCCAAGGCAGCGGTAGGACCGGGCGGGCAGCCAGGCCCCGGGGGGCCGCAGGCCATGCACTGCCCACCTCCAGCCCAACAAAAGCGTGGAGACGACACAGCACAGCACGAACTACGGTTCAGAAAATACTTGTTTTAGGGACCCGTGTGCACGGCAGGGACTCTGGGGTTTCCTAGAAAGAGCCAGCGTACCTGAAAACACTTGGGTCGTCCGATCTGAGTCAGAAAACCTGAATTCTGGCTCTGGCTATGAAAATGTGGTTCGTAATTCGGGCAAAACGTGTAAACTGCCTTTGTCTTACTGTTTCCACCGTATGCTGGAAGTTAGGCAAGACGGTGATTAGCGTCCCTCGAGCCCCAGAGAAGACAGCGGGGGCAGAGCGGGGCGTGCTGCCGAGCTGGGCCCGTTTGCCGGGCCCCCCGGGGGAAAGCGCCACCGACGGCTTCACCGTCGCTCCCGGCGGCGCGAGGGGAGGCACCGCCGGGGCCATGGAAGGGGGCAGGAGTCGGAGCACGATTGCGGCTGGAGGCAGCAGCTGGTGAGTATGTAAACTGGCAACGTGCTGATCTTAGGAACACATGAGTCCGGGTGGAGTTGTCTTATCTTTGAACCGACAGATCTGAAGCCTCTCTTCCTCCTGGACAACCTCTGTCTCAGGTCACAGAAATCAGGAATGACCAAAGGCAGACATTCCCCCAACGTAAATTGTGGGGTCAAGTGATTAGTTAAGAAATTTAAGTGTTGTGAGACCCAGGCTCTGAAGCTGGAACGTAACCTACCTAGGAAAGGCCCCAGCCCTAAGGCGCCGTCCATCCCATTACCACGTTTTATTTTCTTCTCAAACTTAGCAATGCCTCAAACTTCTTTATCTCCTGTTTCTTGCCTGCCTCCCTCAAAACCACATTGTAAGCTTCATGAGAACAGAGCCTCGTCACTCTGGGTCTCCGCCACATCCCTGTGCCTACTTGGCACCTGGCACAGTGCGGGTCCTCAGTCGGCATTCATAAAACGATGAACAAAAAGCCTTTGAGGCAAGATGAGGAAGAGAACACTCATCTTTGCATCCACTCCTGCACGTGGGCAGAAGTTCATGAGCCCTAGATTCGCAGACAACTGTCTGTGAGCTGGGAAGCTTCACTGTGAGCCAGGCAGATACTCTGACAAAACTATGTACTTTTTTGAGGGACTGTGCCCCAAAGAAATGACAAAGAGAGTTTGCGGGAAGGTGTTCTGATAAGATATACCTATTTGGAACCTATCACCAGCCCTGGGTCAACGAAACACACACACACACACACACACACACACAGCATTCTCAAGCAGATACAAGACTCTGAATATACCTCCATCCATTGAAGGATTAGTTATAAGCAAAAAGAAGCAGAATATGGGAGTTTTGCATTGATGCATTTGAAACTATAAAAGGGGAAGAAGGGACACGTAATTCATAATACTTTTAAAAAGAATTGCCATAGGAAACAAAAAAACCCCACAAATTCTTCTAACTATTCTCAATACAATTAAAGACAATACAGACTCCAGAAAAAAAAAAACTGCAAAAAAGAACAAACAGGTTAAAGGAGAGATGATGAGAAAACAGAAGATATTTTATAAATTAGCAGAGCTCGGAAGAAAAGCCAAAAAACCCCCACAAAGCTCTCTTAGAAATGAAATCCAAGTTCGAAGCCTTAAGAACAGGTTGTATCCTTCTGAAAACCGTTAATCAAAGGGAGAATTGGTTTGAGAAAACCGGACAGAATGCAAAGTAGAAAAAGAGAAACAAAAGCAACAAAGTGTTCGAAATATGGAGACCAGTGAAGACCCCGTGTGGAATGTCCCTAAGATAGGAAACCAAACTGAAGACAAAAAACAAAAGTCCAAGATGTAATAAAAAATTTTCCCAAAGGGAAGAAAATTGAATATGTAGATCGAAAGGCCTGGGTGGTTCAGTCGGTTGAGCGTCCGACTTCGGCTCAGGTCATGATCTCACGGTTCATGAGTTCAAGCCCTGCGTTGGGCTCTGTGCTGACAGCTCGGAGCCTGGAGCCTGTTTCGGCTTCTGTGTCTCCCTCTCTGCCCCTCCCCACTGTGTGTGTGTGTGTGTGTGTGTGTGTGTGTGTCTTAAAAATAAATAAACATTTAAAATTTAAAAAAAACATACTCTGATAAGGTTACTGAATTTCGAGGTTATATATGCACATGTGTGTGCATGTGTTTGTTGTGTGCACATGCATTGTGTGTGGGTGTGCGTGCACATGTGATCATGGCAAAAATAAATGAAATTGGTCATCTCAGAAAGAAAGATTAGTAGATTGGTCTTAGACTTTGCACAGAAACCAATGCTGGGAGAGAGGAGTCATGTCCAGATTTGCTCGCTCGCTCTTTCTTTCTTTCTTTCTTTCTTTCTTTCTTTCTTTCTTTCTTTCTTTTTTAATTTACATCCAAATTAGCATGTAGTGCAACAATGATTTCAGGAGTAGATTCCTTAGTGCTCCTTACCCATTTAGCCCATCCCTCCTCCCATATCCCCTCCAGTAACCCTCAGTTTGTTCTCCATATTTATGAGTCTCTTCTGTTTTGTCCCCCTCCCTGTTTTTATATTATTTGTGTTTCCCTTCCCTTACGTTCCTCTGTTTTGTCTCTTAAAGTCCTCATATGAATGAAGTCATACGATTTTTGCCTTTCTCTGACTAATTTCACTTAGCATAATACCCCCCAGTTCCATCCACGTCGTTGCAAATGGCAAGATTTCATTCTTTTTGATTGCTGAGTAATACTCCACATCTCCTTTATCCATTCACCCATCCATGGGCATTTGGGCTCTTTCCATCCTTTGACTATTGTCAATAGGGCTGCTATAAACATGGGGGTGCATGCGTCCCTTTGAAACAGCACACCTGTATCCGTGGATAAATGCCTAGTAGTGCAATTGCTGGGTCATAGGGTAGTTCTATTTTTAGTTTTATGAGGAACCTCCATACTGTTTTCCAGAGCGGCTGCACCAGCTTGCATTCCCGCCAGGAGTGCAAAAGAGATCCTCTTTCTCCGCAGATTTGCACTTTCAAAGGAGGAAAAAGAATGGAGAATTTTAGACCAAATCCAAAAGACATGCTCAAACATGCAGGGACCCAGGGAACTTAGTATCCATTAAACCTTCTCGAACAAGTTATATGATGACAAAATCCAGCCAGCCAAAATATGAATCGATACAAAGGGCTCAAAAGGAGTTAGCTATAAGAAGTGCAAGCTGGATCTCTTTGGACCAGCGACCAGCAGAGCCCTGCCTTGGCTGCAGGCTAGAGTCTGGGAGCTCTGAAAACAGGCTCATTACTAATCATCTCTCTGGACCCATTACATTCAGAATCTCTCAGATGTGGTCTCAGAATCTCTTATTTTTTTTTTTTTTACACGTCCTTAGTTAAGAATATTGTACACATAGGGTTGAAAACCACTGAATCAGATATGAAAACAAGCCTAATCAACTGTGAGAGTTATGGTCACAGAGAGTGCCAAAGGTGTAAAAAATATATACATAACAAAGAAAAGCTAGTTGGCCAGATGGGGAAAAAGAAATAAGAGAACAAGAATTTTCTCACGATTACTACTGTTATTTCATAGGGGAGCACAAAAAAGAATTGACTTGATACATTTTGAAAAATTAATGACAGCTGTCAAATTTTCCATTTTGTAAGCAATATCTGAATACTTTGCAGGCAGTAACTTCTCATTCATGGATTATAGTTCACCAGCAGCCCATGAAAATCAGCAAGTAGACAGAAGAGTCACATAGGATACACGGGGGAGTTGTTCAGATAGAATAACTGTAGGGGCGCCTGGGTGGCTCGGTCGGTTGAGCATCTGACTTCGGCTCAGGTCATGATCTCACGGCTTGTGAGTTCAAGCCCCCCATCGGGCTCTATGCCAACAGCTCAGAGCCTGGAGCCTGCTTCTGATTCTATGTCTCCCTCTCTCTCTGCCCCTCCCCTGCTCTCGCTCTCTCTCTCTCTCTCTCTCTCTCTCTCAAAAATACATAATCATTAAAAGAATAACTGTAGAATTTAGGATTAGGAAGAGACAAGAAATAATAAAAATGAGCCTCTGCATTTCTGTGACTATCACTCATGACAGTGTGGGAGCAGGAGCTCTTACCTCCATTAATGCAAAGGGAAAAGGGTCCAAAGTTTTTGAAGAACAATCTAGCATAATATATGGCTACTTGAAATGTTCATATTCCTCACCCGGGAAAAGTCCACTTCTAAGAGTTCATGCTCAGAAGCTCATGTGCAAATGTACCGTGACGTGTATGCAGGACTGTGGGACGTGACATTGTAGGAGAGCTGGGACATAAACACCTGCTCGTGGGGAACTGCTTCAGTGTACCGTGATGAATCCATGCACTGGAATGCTTTGCGGTTATTAAAGTAATGGAGCAATGTTTATCCCAAGTTAGCAAATTGTAGATTTCAGAGAGTTGCATTTTGTGGCGTGTGAATCCTACCACGATAAGTTGGATCTCTAAAAGCAAATGAGACAGATCTTCAAATAATGACGTGGAAAGATGCTCATGGTGCGTTCCTGAAGGAAAGACCAGGCACAGACCAGTGCGTATGTTGTGGTCCTGTGCGTGTGCGTGCCTGTATGCTATTATGTGTCTATCGATGTGTTGATATGCATGAGTGTTCTGGTACAGGGAAAGATCTAGAAAACGTCATCAATACAGTGCAGAGGTCATGTCTGAAAAATGAAAATACAAGAAATCTGAAAAGATACAGATGTCAACCAACTTACTTTTCTTCCCTCAGTCCCAGTGTCCCGCCCCATCCTCACCATCAGGAGGCCCAGATCCCAGGTCGTGGAGGGGGACGTGGTAGAGCTTTACTGTGGGGCCAGGAAGGGCTCTCCCCCCATCCTGTACCGGTTTTATCACGAGGACAATGCCCTGGGGAGCAGCAGGGTCTACAGCAGAGAAGAAGCGTCCTTCAAACTCCCCCTGTCCGCAGAACATTCTGGAAATT